GGGCAGGGAGGTGCCGGGCGGGGCAGGGGGTGCGGGGCGGGGAAGGGGGTGCTGGGGCGGGGAAGGGGCGGGGCCGGAGCAGGGGGTGCGGGGCGGGGAAGGGGCGGGGCAAGGGGTGCGGGGCGGGGAAGGGGCGGTCCCGCTCGGCCCGGGCGGCGGGCACTGCGCAGAGCCGAGCCGAGCCGAGCGGGGCCGAGCCCAGCAGAGCCGGCTCCCTGGGCCGCGGGCAGAGGCCGGAGCGCGCCCGCCATGCCCGGGCTGCCCGCGCTGGGCGCCGGCCCCGACCCTGAGGAGAGCTACGACTTCCTCTTCAAGCTGGTGCTGATCGGGGACGCCAGCGTGGGCAAGACCTGCCTGGTGCAGCGCTTCAAGACCGGGGCCTTCGCCGAGCGCCAGGGCAGCACCATCGGCGTGGACTTCACCATGAAGAGCCTGGAGATCCAGGGCAAGCGGGTGAAGGTGAGCGCGGCCGGGCCCGGCCGGACAGAGCGAGCCCCGCCGTGCCCCGGGCGCTGCTCCCCGAGCTCCCCGCGGGCCGGGCGGGTCCTTCGCTCGGAGCGGCCCCGGAAAGCCCCGGCGGGACACGCTGTGCCCCCGGCCGCAGCTCTGCACCCCGGCCCCGGGCTGCTCACCAGGCTGGGCTGGCGCAGGGGATGGGGAACGGGCAGATGGAGAGAAGCTGGGGGAGCCGCTGTTCAATTAGGCAGGTTTAAAAGTTATCTTAAGACGTTGTTTACAGCGTCACAGGAAGTACGGTTTTTACAGCTCTTCCCAAACCAGAACGAGTGAACCCTAAATCTGACGTATCTGCTTTTCTTGTTGTTGGGTTAGAAAGAGGGTAGGACCTGTACCCAGTGGATCTGTCCTCAGATTGTTAGTGCACAGATGCCCGATAACAGACTGGGCCTCTGAGCACAGAAGTGTGAGCAAACAGTGGGGAGAAGAGGATTAAAGCACCTGTGGTTTGTAGGGGGCTGCTGGGATAAATCCCTTCACCAGCCCCTCCAGAATGGAGTCATACAACTGTACTTCCTCACCCACTGAAAAGCACTTCAGGCATTCACCGCCTGGAAAAGACCATGGAATTGTAAAGCTTCTGGTGGCACAGAAGTACAGTAATTGCACTTGAATTTGGGCCTGTGTTTACAAAAGTAAGTGTCAAAGTCCTCTATTGTCTTTGTACTATAAATTGACTTTGGTGAGCAGAATATGAAGCAGAGAAGGTAGTGGAAAATAGAAGAAATGAAGGCTCACATTTTTTAGAAAAACAGGGGGATTAGAAGTTCCACACCCAGCAAAGGTGTTTATATTCCTGGTAGTATGACACCTTTTCCTGTCATGTCTGGCTGGGGCTGGGGAGCTGAAAAGGAAACTCAGCTTTTCTGTTTGTGCTGTCAGTACCTCTCCTGCACTTCCTAGTGAGCTGGTACGAGTGGGGGTTCTCCTTTAAGGCTCTCCTTTAACCTGGCTCCATTGAAATGCCAGGCACATAAAAAGTGACAAATGTGTCTGTTCCTCCTGCCAGGGGTCTCAGCCAGGGACTACAGGAGCAGGGCAGGACTAGCCCAGGAAATAAGCTAAAATTCCTAGGTGTGCTTTTTCATTGTCAGTACTTACACCTGAATATATATAATAATATATATATATATATATATATATAATATATCCCGTATTAGGAGTCAGTCTGTAGAAAAATCTGCAGGTTATCTCCAAGTATTTTACAAAAACCAAGTAAAAAAATGCAAGGTCTTGAGGCTTTCTTTTTCTTTGGATTATTCAGTACTTCCACTTAGGAAAAAAAATATAGGGATGCACAGATTGAAGAGTATTTTGAGCAATACTTTAAACAAATTAATCCAACATTGTTGCTGATTTACCTTACAGACATTTTTGTCAGCTGCTGAGTCAGGCATACAATTAGAAAATGAAAACATTTCCTTAGAGGGTTTTTGTGGTTTGGTCTGTTAGGGTGTGGGGGGTGTGTGAAGCTGAAGTTGGGCTTTTGCAGTTGGACTGAGATTTCAGAGCAGTCCATCTGACTGGGTGGGTTTGCTCAGCATGCTGTTGGAAACAGGAAACAAGGAGGCATTTTCTGACACTTGGTGAGCTCCCTGACGAAGCAGGCAGGTTGGGGTGTTGCAGGCTGTAGGTCTGGCCGTGCTGCAGGTCAGGGTGACTGCAGGAGCACTTCAGCTCCCTGCACAGGTCCTTCCCAGCCCCTTAGTAAACAAGTTAGTAAACAAGCCTGGCCATGAGCTGGGTGACAGAGGCACTGTGGTTCTCATTCCCCTGCCTCAGGCACCCGAGACACACTGGTTTAAAAGGGTTTTACATAAGCTGATGATTGGGATGCCTCAAATCAAGAGATGTTGAGGACGTGTTTAAATAAGTTTGACCTTAGAGAAAGGTCTCTACAGAAGCGTGCAGGGGATTCTGTGCTGCTCCAGTATGATGAGGAGTTTATGCTGCTCGAGACAGGACCTTCATAAGGAATACAGAACTTGTTTTCAGTTTAGCAAACGCTGCAGGAATAAGAAAATCCCTGTTTTTAGAAGCTCATCTGTAGTAGTCCCCTCAGAACAAGAGTGTCTACAAAAAGAGTCCCAAGGAGGTTTGGAACACTACTTGCTCCACATCCCCAGTGGCCCAAGGTTCATTTTTAGTCAGGCTAAGGATAGTATTACAACCCAACAACACTTATTTTGAGATTGAAACAAACATTTTAAGGTTAATTGTGTCAGTGCTCCCTTCTGCTTCAAATGTTCCCATTACAGTTACATAATGTTTCTGAAATGTCTGGAGCCCAAGGATTTTAAGTCTCCCTTGCTTCTGCTGCATTTTGTTGGCTAAGGGAAAAGATGCATGTTGGGATACAGAGGGTTATGGTTCTGCAATTAACTTTTTTTATTATTTATAAGGGGCCTGGCTGCTGGGGGCTCCTGGAGGTGTCAGGCTGAAAGGCCCCGTGGCACAGAGCCAGGGGGGATTTGGCAAGTGTAGCACACAAATGGAACTTCACAGCCAAGGCTACCTGTGCTCAGTGGTGACTGGATTTCTGTACAGAGGCAAAATCTGACCAGCATATATCCAGAATTTCCCCATCAGCTCTGTGAAATGTCTGCAGTTTATATTCTTTTAGAAATATGCTCTGCTGCGTGCCGTCTTACTGCTTGATGTTGTGGCATAGAGCTCTCTCTAAAAGCCATCCTTCTTAGCTGGCTAAATCCTAGAGTACGGGCTGGAGTTCCCAAAAGTTGGTCTTGTTAATCACTTAAAAGTGTTTAAAAGTTGTGTTTGTTAATCACTTAATGCACAGTGATTAAAGTCCTATTGATAAAATAATTACTTGAGTGATAGAATCTGGCAAACAGAACAAATATGTTTTGTAACTGTTATGTCACTGAAAGAAAAGATATTTATAAAATGCTGGAATCAAGATTTTACATAATGATAGGCAAGGACATTCCTAAGTCCAAGTCCATAAATCATGTTTAGTAATAACAAAATTCCTTTTCTTTTAATGAATCACCTCCTGTGAACTGATAAATTAATTATCTTTAATGTCTACTTTATGCAGTAGTATTTTACATAAACTGAATATTTGTTTTTCTCTCCCAGTATGTGTTTCAGAAAGTGGCAGGAGAGAAGAACAGTTGAAAACACATTCCTTTTATAGCAAATACTTCATGTGTCATTGCACTTTTTAATTTCCAAGCTTTTCCCGCCTATATGTTATCAAGATTATTGGCTTTTATTCAGGCCTCATGGCTGTAAACTATATTCCTTTCAGAATGGGCCAAAATGTAATGTGTCATTATCTGGCCAAATTGCAAGTAATACAAAGTTATGACTTGTTAACTGTCTTGTCCCCTGACTGTTGATTTAATAATGTTGCTAAACAAATAGAGGCAGAGCAATTGGTTATTACATGGAAGCAATATTATTTGCTATCCAGAGGAAGTGTAGCTCTCTGTCAGCTACTTGGACACATCCAAGTGTGGAGCAAATGGAAATACTGCATGCCCAACAAACGAGGATTCCTCATTCTCTGAAAACTGTGTGGGGAAACAGCTGAATGGAGCAGTTCATCCTGAATATCCTGTGCATGAATATCACTTTAAATTGAAATACACTGCCACGAAGGTGTTGCTTTTGGCAAAAACTGCATAGATGAAGTTGCAAGACTTCCAGTAAGTGTTTTTAGGAGCAAGTGTTGTGATTTGCCAGCCTACAGAAATGTATATTATTGTTTGCCATATGAGATGACAGGATTCAGACACAGTCAGGTGGTTAAGATTCTTTTAACACAGACTTTGTGTCCAGTATTTCACTGCTGGAGTTTGCTATATTGTCACAAAAGTGACATTTCTAGTCTTGTAAAGAAAGGTGTCAGCTGTAGGATGTACTTATTTATTACTTATGCTGCTTCAGAAGCAAAAGTAAAACTGAACTCCTGTGATACTTTGGAAGAATCAGGAGAGTACTTAATAAATTATGTAGGAAGTGAGGGAGGGAAGAAATTATTTAATGTGTCCTGAGGCCATCTGTTAAGCATTAACCTTCGATAAACAATATGTTCACCAATGCAAGAAGAACCCACATGACCCGTGGGATAGTGCTCGTTTAGGATGCTCTTTGGTCAGCCTGTCACTCACCATTTTCACCACTCTATTCTATAGTGCTTTCTGTAGGCCTAACCAGACATCCCAGAATGATCTCCCAGAGACCCACCATAAGCTTTGCCACCTGTTTTCCTCAGTGCATGCAGCTGAAACATCCTCGTTGCAGTTTTTCTCTCCTGTGCCACCCTGAAGGGCCTGGCCCTGTGTGCGTGGTCCCTGCCCGTGTCCTGGGCAGCAGCTCCCGGGTGTGTCCATGCCTGCTGTGCCCACAGCTCGGGATGCTGCCAGGAATGCTGGCTCCTGTCAGCTGTCTGCAGGGACCCCCTGGGCCTCTGCAGCACAGCTGCTCCCAGCCACTCACAGTCCTGCACCCCTGGGAGGGGGGAATGACAGACACTCCCTGAGGATCCTCCCCAGCAGGAAAAGGAAAAGATGAGAAAGCCAATAGAACAAGATGGTCAAGACTTCGTCTGATGTACTTACGGGCATTGTATGGAGTCATGAGGAGTCTTACAGGAGATAACAGTTCAGCACTGTGCTCTTCAGTACCAGCCAGTGCTAAGGGCTCTGCTGTCCAAAAAATTCGAAGCTCAAAGCAGATCAAAATAACCAGCTTTTGTAAGTAAATGTGTATGGAATAGTGAAATAATTAGCACAAGAAAGGTGGCTCCTTGTCTTTGTTTCCTTGGAGTATTGTGTCATACTCCTTCTGAACAGGAGTTATTATTCCCTGTCCTCATTTGTTACTGCTGGTGGTCCCCTTGAAGGCCTGGCACTGATCTTTTGTCTCATAGGTGTTTTTTCTTAGTATCCTCAGATGAATTCAACACAGTTCTCCAGCAATCCCAACTTATCTTTCTCACACCAAAATTGTTGTGAAGGTAATGACAAAATCAGGAATTGCTTCAAAAGGTTACTGGGTGGCAGATGTGTCTTCCATCATGTTATTTACAAAGCTGAAGCATTTAAATTGAGGAAATAAATAATTAAGGACTTTGGGTCATATACTGCATATGTTATATCCTTATACAATAGAATCCATGACCACATCTTTTTTGGTAGCCTGTGGCTAGTACAGTTCCTTTGGTATTTGATGTTAACATTTGAACATTTAACTTATACTGAGGGACTTCTGAATGAGAGATACTCTTTTTTCCCAGGAATTTGTAATTGTTATTCTTGTCAAGAGTTAAATGCTTGTAAATATAGTGTACAGAAAGACTATATAAAATTTTTACTACTAAATAGCTGTTTAAATTATAGTTGTGATTGGTATTTACACAGAGTTGTCATGTTTCTTTTTCAATAGAATTTGAAATGTATCTCTGTACACCTGGTGGAGAAAATAGTGGATTAGGATCAGAACTGGTATTTTTGTAATTACTTAAATTGTATCTTTTTAATCATGTATTAGATTGCTCAATGCTATATGGGAATATTTTTCAGGGAGTTTCTAAAGATGCTGTCAATCAAACTAGCTATATTTTGCCCTTAGAAATACAACTTGCTTTAAATTAAGTCATCTGGTTCTTAGCACATGTGTCTGCAGTGTGTATTCTTGATGATTTAAAAGAAGACAGTTATTCAAACTTCAAGCAGTGTGACAGGGCAGGTTTTCAAGGTTCCAAATTGTGGGAAGCCCCTGCTGACAGTATTGCCTTGGCTTGGCTCAAACCAGTGGTTCCAGTGTGCCCCGAAACAGGGAGCACTGCCCTGGCTCCTCCTGCCCCCAGGGCTGATGGAACAGGACAGACACCGTGCCAGCTGCTGGGCATGTCTGCAAATGAGGCTCTGATACCTCCTGGAGCCTCAGCTAGGAGAGCAAAGCCCCCCAAACTGCAGATCCTGTAAAAAGCTCCATGATTCAGAATCCTTACGCAAGAGGAGCACGAAATTCAAATGTCTGAGCTTACCTGGAGGATGTGGGCTGGGAGGAAAGGTGCTCGTTTGCTCTTGGGTGCTGTTTGAGCTCCCGAGAAGGTCAAAAATGTGCTCTCTGCTGTTCCCAGCAGGACTCTGAAGGCTTCAGCAACTTTGTACATTTAGTCCTATGAACACAGGCACAAATGTTTGGGTTAAACACGAGGGGAGTGCTGGGAGATCTTGCTGGTGACATTCTGAGGTTGTTCTATTCACTACAGTAGAAACTGGGAAGGACCAGAGAAAGACAAATGTTGTACTCATCTTCAGAAAGGGCAAAAAATCCTGGGATGGCTGGTCAGATTCATTTTGGTCCCTGGGAAAATCATGGAGCAATTCTGTCTGGAAGAGCTAAGGTTTGACTCCACTTAAAAGCAGTTGGCTTTGTCACCTCCCAGAATCTGTTCCAGCCCTAATGATTCTGTGATTCTTATGGAATGTACTTGTACAGAGGTTTTCAAAATCCAGCATACAGCACGTGGCCCACGTGCTTGCTGAGTCACTCTGCACTTTCATTTACACCATGTGAAAAGCGTGAGCTAAAACCATTTTAATTTTTAATTTCAAAAGTTTCTAATTTGTCTGTATGCACAGAATCACTCAGAACTCTCCCAGGAGTTGTCTAATCATCATTAGGCTTGTTTTGTACTTGAGCTAATCAAGTATTGAGATTTAAAACTGTGTAACAGACACAAAGGTCTAGTGGGGAGACTTGAGTGCAGAGATCATACAGAAACCTGTCCTGAACTTCCCTATCTCCAGTAATTGCTGCCGACTGCTCTGAATCATTATCTGTTCCATTAATAATCATTACTTTGTGGTTTTCTAAGTCCATTACAGTCCCTTTCCCTTCTCTGAGAAAACTCTTACCAGAACTGAGAAGTCCTTTTTCACTGGATTGATTCCTTTTAAGCTGTACATACATCATTTGGGATCTAAATGCTTGGTTGGCACAGGAAATGAGATCTCATCAGGAGATGAGATCTTTTCCAAAGGGAAAGTTACTGCTCAAAAATGCAGGGGTCTGAAGACAGAAAGGAAATGCTATTGTGCAAAAGAAATAAATAAAAAAATGGTTCCCCATTATTTGGTGTAAAATATCATTGACACATTATATTAACTTGTGTCAGCTCTTTAAAATAAGGAAGTTCAGAGAGAGGGGGAAACATTAAAAACCCCAGAAGTATTTGCTTATGCTCTGTCTCGTAAGAAGAGATGCAGAGCATAAGGAATGGCACAGAAAGACAAGCAGTGGTCTCTCATTTCTCATCTGGGGATAGAGAAGTGAAAGTGCAACAGAGAGACTGAGAATATAAAATTTATAAAAGGAAATTCTTTGGTTTCATTGCTACTATATATTGAAGCCAAGAGCTTTGAAAGATTCAAAAAGGGTTAGAGATTTCTGTGGAGGATGAGAACATCCACAGTTACTTCAGATTAAAAGGTCCTGGAATATAAACCATCATATTCCAGGCCATTAGACAACCTATAAAACAAGAGGATTTAGAAAGAAATTTTCCCAATGAGCAGGATGTTGTGTTTGTCCACTCTGAGTTATTTGGCTTCTTCCTCTGGAACATCTAGTACTGGGAACTCAAACCCTGATACTAAACTCATAATTCTTATGCTGCTGGATTTGGGCAAAAGTGTGTAAGCCAAGCATTTCTTCTTGCTGCCCTGATGGAATGTCTGTTCTGCCCCCTGGAAAAGGACAGGTGAGCAGCCTGACTCGATCTTTGACCTTACTGAACCCTAGAATTGCTGGCATTTCGTTTATACCCTTTTATCTCTATTCTTTGAATGATCTCATATTTCCTTCTAAAGCAGCATCAGTGCTCTCAGGTGATGTGACCACATCCTGCTCCAGTCATTCCAGGAGCAGAACTGGCAAACCCACAGCAGTGCCACAGACGATGTTCCAGTGAAAAACCACCTGTAGTTTCAGTGACACACCAGATCAACAGGAGTGGCTTTGCCATGGGGAAACATCTTTTTCTGCTGACTGTGCTAGAGGAGGTGGCAAAGGGCTAGGGCTGGACACACAGGAGATAATTTGATAATTGCCACAGAAGCAGATGACTGCAGGAACACCGTGTGTCCCAAGAGATACAGACAGAACTTTCAGCAGCGAAGTTCTCAGCATACATTACATACATTATGTTTAGATCGAGGTTCTCAAGCAGGTATTGTTACCATCCTTCAGTCCTGAATGAAGCCTAGAGAAAGGTGGTGCCAGAGTGTGTTATTTCCAGAGGAGAGTGGTGTGGGGTGCTGTCCCTGGGCCAGCAGAGCTGGCTGGCCCGTGTCTCACTGTCCCTGTCCCAGCAGAGCTGGCTGGCCCGTGTCTCACTGTCCCTGTCCCTGTCCCAGCAGAGCTGGCTGGCCCGTGTCTCACTGTCCCTGTCCCTGGGCCAGCAGAGCTGGCTGGCCCGTGTCTCACTGTCCCTGTCCCTGGGCCAGCAGAGCTGGCTGGCCCGTGTCTCACTGTCCTGTCTCATGCAGCTGCAGATCTGGGACACGGCCGGCCAGGAGAGGTTCCGCACCATCACGCAGAGTTACTATCGCAGCGCCAACGGGGCCATCCTGGCCTACGACATCAGCAAGAGGGGCTCCTTCCTGTCCATCCCTCGCTGGATCGAGGATGTCAGGAAGTACGCCGGCTCCAATATAGTGCAGTTACTGATTGGTGAGTTCCCAGCATCGACACAGCACCACAGGCTACTGCTCAGTGTCATTATTTGCAATACTTGTTTAAGGTGGTCACAAGTTTATCTCTGGTTGAAGTTAAGATGCAAGCAATAGATCTGATCAAAAATTTGACCCCTTTTTTTTAATTAGAAAGCACTGATTCGTCCAAACAGAAATGTTTTGCTTTGATTAACTTCTTTTAAGAAGTAGCCAGCTTTGAATCCTTTGCATCTCCCTTGGTGGAGAACTGAGTGCCCAAGATTTCCAGGTTCTGAAGCACAGCTGCTGTTCTCATGATAAAGATCCCAAGGTTTTCACGGCCCAGAGAAGCTCCATCACAGCAAGCACTGGAACACCCCCACGCTTCAGCAGACAGGGGATTTTGGAAGGCCTTTGGGGCAGTCAGGGTGTGTCAGTTCTTTGCTGCAAGTTCTGCTTCCCAGCCCCAATGTTTGGACTCAGATGTGGCTCTCAGGGCCACGTCCGTTAGACCTGCTGATGGAACAGCAGTTCTGTTCTGACTTCCCTAGGGCCCAGCAGACAGCTGCTGCTTTCACAAGGTGGTTTCAGCTTTCATTTCTAGCCCACTTCAATTTTGTTAAGGTCTACAGCCACCACTGTTCTGTTCCTTTTTCTGTCCTATGGGCCACACAGATATACAAGTTGGAAGGGGCTTAGGAGGTTTTACAGCTCCAACCTCCTGCTCAGAGAGAGGCCCATGGCAGGTTGGTCAGGGCCTTCTCAGTCAAATTTTGAACCCCCCCATGACTGGAAATCCTGCAGCTTCCTTGGGCAGCCAGAGAACCTCCAGCTATACTCTTCCTGTGGCAGAAACAGTCATTATAAATTACTGTGTTGTTTCCTTCTCCTCCAGGGAACAAGTCTGACCTAAGTGACCTTCGCGAGGTTGGGCTGGAGGAGGCCCAGAGCTTGGCTGACCACTATGACAACATCATCTGTGCCATCGAGACCTCTGCCAAGGACTCCAGCAACGTGGAGGAGGCTTTTGTGAAGATGGCCACGGAGCTCATGCTGAGGCACGGCGGGCCCATGTTCAGCGAGAAGAACACTGACAGCATCAAGCTGGACAGCAAAGACGTTGTGGAAGGCTGGGGGTGTGGCTGCTGATAAGAGCTAGGTGATATCCCTGACCTTCCCGGAATTTAGATGGTGCTTCACCCTAATGCTGAGTAGCATGGTAGCCATACTCTCCTCCTGTGAAACCAGCAATTTTGTAGAAGTTAGACACAATCCTGTTTGCTTTGGTGTCTTATTTTTAAAAAGGGACTTTTGAGAAGTAGTCCTGAAAGTCAAACCCTCTGAAAAACTTTGTTAACATTTGTCCCCACCATTTTATTTCCCGTAACCTTCATACAAGTTACGAAAATGGCAGGAACGACTTTGAGGTGGTGATGTGGGGTGGGGAGACAGATGGCTGGGCAAGAGACATGCAAAGCCAAAGCTGTGAAACATTTCACACGGGACTTCTGGCAAAGGATGTCCCTTTTGGAACAGGCAACCTTGACGGTGTCTCTTGAAATCCTCAGCACTCCACTAGTGACCAAAAAGTCTTTGACAAAGGTATTCCAAGTGTCATAATCCCCAGCATTGTGATTACAGGACCAAATAGCAGGTGCCTGTCCTAGGGCATAGACTGCTAGTTGCTGTGGAACAGGCCCAGGTGGGGGAGCCTTCTCTCAGGTTTTGTGATGATTTTAAGTTATCGTTTTAACAGAAGCAAAATCAGCCCAGGCAATATCACGACTTACAGTCGAGCAGGATTGGACCAGGGTAGTTATTTCAATACAGCCTCGAGGAGAGGGTAGATGCATTTCATTTGTTATTGTTTGCACAGTGATAGCTCCTTTTTCCTAGTGGGTATCACTGAGGTTTTGCCCTCAGGTCTCATCATTTCATTTCACAGTTCAAGACCTGCACCCTGGAAGCAGGAACTGGAGAAGCCTTGAGCTGACTGTAGCCACGACCTCTTGCCATGTGCCTAATTGTCATTTACAGGGTTAATTCTGGTCATACCTCTGACATTGTGTTACCAGAGTGTTCATTGCTTAAGTGGCAGAAGTGGATTTGGTTTTTGTATTGGTTTTGTTTTTTAAACCATCTCTTTAAATACTAGATGGGCAAGAATAGCTCAGAGTAGCTGTAAACTGCCTGCATTACAACTTCTTACCTGGAAGAAACCAGCGTCTTTTTGAGTGATTCCCTCCCAACTTTGAACCCAAATGTTTCCCTATCACAAGTTACCAGTTGCTTTTCATTTCATGAAAACATTCGTCAGGAAAAATCTGTCATTGTTGATCAAAAGTCTACATTATTAAGTAAAATTGATTTCATAATCCAGCTACACCCAGTTCTTTCAGATTTGGCTCTCAGTGGTAGGTGCAGCTGGAGTACTGATGGCAGCATCTCTGGGTTTACACTCAGGCACCTTCCAAAAAGGGAGCAGGAAGATTTTTAACTCTGCTGGTAAAGCAGAGGTGTTCAGGGATGGCAGGTGATTTTTGCAGTCCTGATTATATGAAGGAGCTCATTTTCAGAAAGTACCCACTTCAAGTCATCATTTGTCTCTTTTGAAAAATCCAGATCAAAAAGGACTTGAATTGTTTTGCTACTAGGGCTGCACCAGTTTAGCCATTCAACATATCCAGTGTCATGAAAATCAGGAAGACTTAGGAAAGGGCTAATGGATACTAATTTTAATACTACTCATCTTTCTGTAGAAAATATTAAACCATTCTCTGGTCTTTCTGTTTTTTTAAACTATGAAGTAGATAACTGAGGAGTAACATATGCTTTGTAGCCTGCCTGTTTGCTTCTAATCTGAGGGGTTAGTTTTCAGGTTTTACAGTTGCAAGAGTGAAAGGGCCTTACCTTTTTCAATTGGCATAGTTTTCACAATTCTAATATTTTCTGTGGAAGAGCAGGCTGAGCTGCTGTATTTGGTAGTATTTTTGGATAGTTTTCCAGGACTTTCCCATCTCTCCTACATCCAAAGATAACAGGCAATAAATTGTCCAGCTAGGCACTGAAAATGAGAATTGTCCAAAGTCTGGATTTGTCAGTGTACTCCCAATATCCTGCTCTCAGGAAAACCTATGAAGACAGTCCAAGCTAAAGCTCAGTGCTGGTGAGTGCTCTTCCTCCTGGTTAGATGGTCCCTGAGATACAGAATACTTGGAAGCATCTGACCTTGTCATGCCACGTTACAGTTTACATGTGTGGGTCATAGTCCTGCAGTGCTGTGTGTGTGAACACGGACCCCCAGATAGGCTCAGCCTCCCACTATTTGCAGGGTTAGTGCCAAATTATTTAATGCTGATATAAATTCACAGGCATTTAAGAACAGTGTTGCTGCTACTCAGACTGAAATCCACAGTTTACACAGTAACTCATGGAGAACTGGAACAAGGTGCAAAATGAACTCAAATCCTGCTTCCAGTGCAGTCAATGATTGTCTATTTACAGTACATGAAGAGATGAGGAGTTACTGATCCATTTCTTAGTTTGGAGGTTTGTTTAGTAAATAAGTGGAATTAGCCCAGGCACTACACTTCTCCTTACAATTTGCCTGGAGGTTTCTCTTAAACAACCCTTGAAGGTTGAGTCTCTGTCTGCAGGTTGGTCTGGTTCAGTCACAAAACGTGCAGTGCAGCAGCAGGGACTTGTTTGCTGTTTTCATTTTCCGATGAAGGCACCAATTCTGATTAGTTTGCATTTTGCTATAGAAAACTAAGACTGGCTTGAAATCAGTTTTGTCTTTTAACTGCTGGCTCCTCTGTGTTGTAACAAGTGTAATACAAGTTTGCATGCCCTGCTGACCGAGCACAAGGGAACAAAGAACTGGACTGAAGGTTTATTTTCACCTGGGGGCAGCTCAGAGTGACGGTGCTCGGGCTGGGAGCAGCTCAGGTTTAGTTTGAGAACCAAACCTTTTCTCTGTCCTCTTCAGTAGCACAGCACTCACCACACTGAGAGCTTCTTGACCAACAGTAAGTGTGACTTGGAGCTTTCCACTGCCCTGCTGAAGACTTTCCTAACCCTGTGACTCACAGCCAGCTGTGTAATTCATTAGGAGGACAGTGCTGTTGGTTTAGTTCCCCTAATCCTATTGAAACCAAAAGGGTACCTGGGAGAAGAGAGCAGCAAGAAACCTGTGATTTACGGGTAAAATCCTGAGGTTCAGATCTTGGCTTACAAATGTGCACTGATGTACATCAAGTGAATAATTCAGCAGTGCATGTTCAGAGTTCACAGCACAAACATTTGCCAAGAAACCTGTTTACTGGCAGTTGAATATTAACAAAACTATGGTGCAGTAATTGCTTTTAAGCAGATCTCCTTGGCTGACCATGTGTTTGCATTAGTATTTATCATTTATTTTTGGCAGTGCAAAAATGTTACAAAAGCACAGAAGGGGACGTTGATCCCTGCCTTGTAACACTTGGGAGTGGAATGCAGAGGCAAACACTGGAATGAAATCATCAGCACAGTGGTTCCCAGGAACGGGGGCTTTGGTACCCTTTGTATTTTTGTTTTAAGCAAATTTCATCTCCAGTTACTCATCCAGTCCATCATCACAGATGGAACTTGTATAAATATTTGGAGTTTTGTAAATACAAAACCAAATAAATGTCAGCCTAGAAACCTGTTAACATTGCCTTGCAAAACAAAATTTGAAAAAAAAAATGAAAATACTTAAGATCAGAGGAAATTTCCTAATGATTTTATCCCTCTCACTGGACTGGAAAGCAGGTGATTTTGGGAGGTAACATTGCAAACTAAATGAAGCCCAGATTTCCAAGAACTTCACCAAACGTGGAGCTCTTGCTCGTTTTCTTTCTTTGCCTTTAAAACTCCCACTGATTTGAAGAACAGTCCCAGCCAGGGGACCACCTGAATGCCTTTTGCTGTCTCCCACCAGTGCTGAGGGGATTGGCAGGTAATAACATCATCAGTTTCTCTTTGTGGGATTGTTTTACTCAGTGGCACAGTGAAAGTCTCTTTAAATCCAGCGGAATGAATATGTTACTTCCTCAGTAGAAATGGTTTCTCTTTACCTATCCTGCTGCCAAAACATTTATATATTAACAGACCACTGAAGTTTACCCTATTATTTTGGGCAAACAATGTGCTGGAGGAAAATGAAGTGAGAACAATACATGCTTTGTGAACCTGAAAAACAAAGTTCCTCTCCCTCAGGTACCTTCCAACCGTGGGGTTGGCTCAGCTTAACCCCTGTCAGGCATTCTCACAGAACGGTGGTTCTTGGAACTGATGTGTGCAGATGAATCCCAGAGTCTGGGCTAATCACCCTAACCACTTCATTAGCCTTGCTCAAATGATACTAGGTTATTTTCTCAAATAAAAGGCATTCTGTATTTACAGTTTAGGCAGTAAAAGATGCCAGGTTGTTAATGTAGATTAATAGTTACATTTTATTACAGTTATGTGAAGTATAGTGACTTGATAATGGGGCTGTTCTTAGGTTTGACAGTTCTTTTCCATGCTGGAGGAAGGGATTCCTAGATTTGGGAAGTGCTGTCCCAGTTTGATTTTTGTTCTGTCTGGAGCAGTGCTGACCATCCCACTGTGATTTTAGTTAGAGGAGTTAGAGGGTATCTTGGTTTTTACTGGCCAGGTAGTGTTCGATTATTGAACTGGGTTATAGAGCAAAAAATCTCAGATGGAAGCATTTCATTGCAATCTCCACTGCATACTGTAGGAAAAACAACAATTCCACAGCTAGATGTTCTGTGTTTAGTTTACTTGGAAAAGAGCAGGCTTACAAAATCAACCAACCCAAATATATAGTTGCTCTCCATGGAACTGTTGCCAGAAGTTAGATGAAAATAGCCAGGATACTCTCCTGTCCTGATTTTAGTATGACAAATTTCATCATTTTTGGGGGTGACTGAAACATGTTAAAATGCACTTTAAAAATAATCCTTTGAAGCATAAAAGGGTTGCAGGTTTTTTTTTTCACTGTGTCTTTTTTATCAAGGGTTTCTGTGACTTGAATGCTGATAAAGGCAGTTCCCTGTATTACACAGGGAATACATACATTGAGGTGTTGCTGAGGACAGACTGTCAACAGCTGTCTTGTCTTTCCATGTGAGTCAGTGGCCATGGAAGACCAGGGAACAGGAGAACTTCCCAAGAATGAGGAAAGTGAAGGCCGAGTAACAGTCAGGGAAGGTTTTCTGTTTAGTCTGATGAAAGGTGTTAGGTGTAATCAGTGCTCACTCCCTTCAAAGGAGGTACTTTCCTTCCCACAGGTAAAACAGAGCACTACTCAAGGAGTTACAGGTTTTCCTCTTAGCTTTTTGTACCACACAAAGGTGACTGCCTTCTGTCCTGAAGAAGAGTGGTCTGCTAAGAACTAGTTAAGTGTATGGTAACAACACAGTTTAACATTTGGAGAGCTGTTAAATCGGCTTACAGTTGTATTTAGGATCTAGGCCTTCCATTATGAGGTTAAAAAATGTCTCTCCCCCAGGACACCATTTGAAAACCTTTAGAAGATCCAAGATTGTACCTTCATAGAAATTTCTTGAGGCTTTCTTTATCATTAAAAGTCCCTTTTCATGTTTCTTTTGGAGGACATTTGTAGACTTTGGTTATTTCCAATTTTATTATCCAACCGAACTGCTGACACTTGTACTTTTTCTCAGCCTCAAATTTAACGGAATAATGAAGCATTTAAGCTTTCATAAGAGCATGTGAAACACACACCTTAGCATTAACTGCTCTGTAGGAGTTTAAACCTCAGTTTCCCCCTAGAGCTAGATAAAAAAGATCCACACTGCTGTAAATGTTATCTTAGAGACCAAAATTGTGGCAGGCTGGCAGTTTTAACTTCAATTTTGTTCAATCAATAAAAAGAGGTTATGGCACAGAGATTATCTTCTCCAGATAAAAGCAGAGGAGAACTTTGACTGTACTTCCTTAGAAACTGTCCTTTTTAAGGCTCCTGCCCCACGTCATCTGTGCATCTCCAAAAGCCAGTCTCCTACTCACCCCCTTTACACTGCACTGGGATGTGGAAATGGGATGATCAACACCCTTCTGCAGTCAGCTCTCTGAGCAATGTGGATTCCTCTGCAGATGTGAGGGAGGGATTTTGGGTACCTACACGATCGTAGGTGAAAACAAGGGTATGAAGGCTGTCCTCTGAACACGGCATGCAAACTTGTCTTGACAACTTGCAAGTATTTTTTAAAAGTGAGCCAAGAGCTGCATTTTCAGAGACATTAAAGCTGCAGACAGATGCCTGTCAATGTTCAAAAGCATCTCAGTACCACTGCAAAAAAAGCACAAAACTTGTATGGAAGTGGTTTTGCACTAAAGGGAATCAGAGAAAAAAAAAAAAACATTAATGTGAAAGGCAGAGCATCCTGATTATTCTGCATTTTTCATGTTCATTCCCTAAATGCTGTGCATAAGGAAGCTTTTTTTCCCCCCTTTATAAATGATATTAAAATAGATTATTCTAGGTGTGAAAAGTAGTTTGATACTTGACAAAATAAAATGCTCTATACGTTTTCTTGAGAGAGTGATAATATTGCTGAGGATAAGAACTTTGCAGATAGGGTTTGGTGGTGTAGGATCAGGGATTCCCCAAAGCTGTGCTGGAATGGTGTGACACACACATACCATTCCCAAAGCTGGGGAGGCCAAGGGAGGAGACCAGCCCCTGTCCTGCCTGCCAGACAGAGATACAGACACCTACTGAGCAGAAAGTGAATTTAGTTATTTGTGAGTGTTTTTAAAGCTTTCTATTTTCTAAGTCTGTAAGGAGAAAGGATTTCTGACAGTCAGATATGCTCAGTGCTGTCAACCAGCTTTTCCCTCTTCTGTGCCTCACTCGGTGACCTGACAGGTCCAAAGCCCCCAACTCCAGACAGGGAGCATTCCAGCCAGGCTGGCTCACACACCTGCTGGGGAGAAGGTGAAAATCTCTAATTCATATTGAATTCATTCACTGCATTCCAAAATTATCTGAAGGGTTTGGATGAGAACAGTGTTAAAATGATTCTGCATTTTCTAGCACAAATGTGTTGCTGTTTTTCAAGGTTCCTTCAAGAGATGCAGGCTGTACATTTCTAATCATCAGTAACTGTTTTGCTTTGAAACTTTCTTATCACAATACTGTCTAGATCATTTGGAATACGAGGAGCCAAGGGAGCAAGCTTGCATACTACGGTAATTTTTTATACTTTACGTTCATCTATTTATGAATTTATTATGAAAAGTATTTTTAAACATATGAAACCTGCTTTTGTTGTGAATTTTAGCAAAGTAGTGGATACATTGTACTGTGTATCATTAAAAAGGTTTAATTAAAGTAAACTTTGCAATTAATATCTTTTGTTGTTATTTTATGCATGTACCTTGTTGTGATATATTATCAGAAACAAAATCAAGTTTTAAGAAATTCTGTATCCCGTTCTACGGTGATGTATGGTCTGCTTTTACACATGACCTAATGTAGTCTTTATTAAACAAACGGTGCTTTACTCTCTTCCTCTTACCCTTACAACTGTCCATCCTTCCAGAAATGCATGCACTTTAAATTGCTTGAGTTAGTGAGCTCTGCAGCATAACTGTCTGGAAGATTAAGAATTAAACCCAAAATTTTCAGTGTTGGAGAAGTGCAAATAACTTTTTCAGTGCTTGCAATTAAGTGTAAACAATGTAGTTACAACTGTACTTTCCCAAGGGAACATTTAGATCCCGGATTTTATTTAATTGTTGTAAATTAAACAAAGAAACACCCCTTTCCTTTTGCTTGGCTCGTTAATTCTAACGTCAGCAGATGCATATTTTTGATCCGCAGGAGCCAAATATTGAATTGTTTGGTTCTGTGTTCAGTCTGTGACCCAGTAACAGCCTCAGATATCAAACCAGCAAGTTGTCAATGCAGCGACCACGCTCTAAAACTGGTTCCTTAGAGTGCTGAGTGGGGCTGAATTTGTTAGTTCTCTTACAGTGACACTTCCGTTACTACTGAAACGTTCTGATCCATGTTACTGGTGTGCACAGCGCTGTACAGAGCTGGTGGGAGAGAAACACTGCAGGTGCCACGTTTAACACACAAACACTGCAGGTGCCATTGTTAACACAGAAATACTGCAGATGCCATGCTCAGCACAGACCTGCTCTTTGCAGGGACTGACCTTTATTTTCTCATGTGTTCTGCACATCTATCCTAGAGTTTATAAATGGGGGGAGGGGGGAACCTAACGTTTCCCTGTGGTTTTGGTATGCTGTGAATTCCAAGGCTGGGATATGAGGACAAAGGTAACAATTTACAGAGAGCTGGGTTTCTTTTCTGTAAATACCCCCATTATGATAATACAGTCCTGGAACAGAACATGCAGAGCAGTTCTCTCTAAGCCCTGTGACAGCCCTGGCCCTCCAAAGCCAGGCTGTGCTTTCCCCACACTGTGTCCCCTCGGTGACCCTTGGAAGGGCCTGTCCTGCTGCAGTGAGCTCTCCCAGTATCCCCAGAACAGAGGGGACACACACCTGTGTCAACACAACCAACTGGCTCCCAGCTGCGTCCCAGTCATCTCCCAGAGCACGGAGTGACACGCAGAGCACGGCTCTGACTGAGCAGGAGCACCATGGGGGCACCAAGGTGCACCCACATCCCCCCAGGACATCCCAAAAACATGAACCAGTCATAAGGGATGATGTGAAGGGAAAGAGACACACTGGACACAAACAATCCCCTGCTCTGATCTCTGCTGCCTCATCCCCTCTGTGCGCGTGTCAAATCCGTATAATTAACAGGTCTCAGTAACTTGAATTTATCATGCACAACAACCCTGACAGCTGTTTACTGGCTTATTATAAGTGCATATGACAAACATTTTAAAATGCCTTCAGTTGCATTTCTAGGAACTCTCCCTAGAATTCTCTAGGAATATGGAATAGTTTGGATACAGGAGATCTACACACACTACAACCATTTTTTATTTGCTGTTAGTGAGGTCAACTGACCCTCATTATGTAGCTTGTGCTTGAAAAACAAAAATCCATAGTTTTTTATAGTTTAAATTCACTGAATATTTTTTTTCTTCCCATATGTGGTCAGGAACTTGGCTGTTAAACTAGCAGAAAGCATATTCCCAGATACACTTCCATAAAACAAGACACCACTCCCAAATCCTGTTGAAAATGCACTTCTTATTCTGAGATTCTTACCCATGGAACAGGTGCTGCTTCTGCAGAGGTCAGCAGATAAACCTGTGTAAACCTTGCTGGATGTTAAACTGCAAGGCAGATTCCAGTTCTGGATTCTGAGCTTGGTATACAAGACCAACAACAATACAGCTTTTAAGTGAGAGCAGCTGAGTCTCAGGTGGTCTCAATTACACAAAGTAACCCCACCTGTGCTATTTTGAATCAGCATCAATTTATTTTATTCATAGAAATGACCACAGAAACACTTTTTTCCTGAAACATTTAAGTTTGCAGGCTGTTTCTATCCACATTGAAAACAGGATATATTTCATCCCCCAAGAATTCATCCTTGTCTAGACAAAAGATTTTAATACAGACTGTGTAAGATATGCTGTCACACCATACAATCAAGCCTGTTAGTACCCATTTCTCTTCCAGTTACAGAACATACAAGCACACCATTGAGTTTCAAAGAAACTCTTGCCATCCTGGCTTCTTCCCTGTGACACCAAAGGAAAGAGGTTTATAACTCTTTCAGCAACTGCCTGCTGTGTGCAGTGTTATTCAGGTCACTATTTCTTCCTTCCTTTAATACCTGGGGAGACTGGGCAGGGGAACAAAATTCTTGCCTTTAACCAGACCAAGTTCTGCTGACACTGGAGTGATGAAACCTATGGGTTGAGAAGGCATGGCCAGGGTACCACATCCACCTCTGCCAATCCATCCAGCCACCGAGAAAACAAACCCACACACTCCAGGGTCTTTCAACTGTGCACCCTTTCCTCATTTTACAGAAATCTGTGGCATGTCGATTCCATGCCACAGGTGATTATTTTCTTGCTGAAGAAAGCCCCAACAAATGGAAATTTCATAAAGCACACAAATCCTAAACCTAAAACACAGCTCTTACTAAAACCAGCAGCTGGGAGAGGGTTCAGAGCACCAAACTCTGAGCTCCCCTCAGACTCCTGGGGCACGATTTCACGCACTGACAGAAAAAACTCACCAAGGGCTTTGCACTTGTTTTGAAAGGGTGCAAATGAGAGGCTGCCAGAATTATGAACACTCTTCATCTGCTATTTTTTACTCATTTTGGCTTTTTGAGGTTTGTCAAGCCCATCTTGCCACCAAGCTGGAGTTCAGTCCATGGAGCTGGAGAACCTGAAATACCCTCAGCCTTGGAGAACTGCATGGGGGCAGCGTTTTACATTTTACTACGGGTATGGCACAGAAAAAGAAGAAAAATAAAGGAAAAGGGAGGAAAAAAAAC